AAAGTTTGTGTGTTTTTCTTTATGGTATCTACATTATCACCCAGTAGATTCACATCATTGGCATAAACCAACAGCTGATGTGTCCCGTTTAGTTTCAGTCCCACCTGGCTTCCCTGGACCTTCCTAATTGCATATTCTAAGGCAAAGTTGAAAAGGAGTGACGATAAATCATCTCCTTGTTTTAGACCATTATGGATAGGAAATTTATCAGACAAATGTTTACCTACACGGATTTTACTATACGTTTCGTTTAAACACATTTTAATCAACCTAACTAGTTTCATGGTTATCCCAAACTCTATCAGAATATTGTACAATACTTCCCTCCTAACTGAATTGTAGGCTTTCTTGAAGTCTATAGCTGATGTACTGTCTCATCGTACTCCCATTTTTTCTCCAATATCTGACGAATGCAAAAGATCTGATCTGTAGTTGATCTGTTGTGTCAAAACCCACACTGATGATCCCCAAGAATTTCATCTATATATGGACTTAACCTTGAAAGAAGAATATTGGACAAAATTTTATATGAAGTTGATAGCAGTGATATCGCCCGATAATTACTACAGTCAGTTTTATCACCCTTCTTGTGAACTGGTACAATAATAGACTCCTTCCACTGATCAGGCAATTTTTCCTTATGCCAAATAGAAGTAATCAGATTGTGGATCTTAGAATGTAATATTTCACCTCCTGCTTGAACTGCTTGAATAAGTTCTGCCGGAATTTGATCACTACCTGGCAATTTATACCATATCGGTCATAATACACCCATCGCAAATAATCAAATCGCATAAGTGTCAGCCAATCAGAGGATCGCAAATTTCGGTTGAAGGCTATGGGCGCTTGTTTCAGTAATACTGCGTAGTTTCTGTAAATGTGTGTATGCCGTTAAGGTATGTTGTCCAACTAATTAGATTAATTGGTAAGTAGGGACTTTGATTTGATGTTGTGAAATGAGAGTCTACATTTACGCATGAATTTACATCTGTGTGTTACTTATGTATATGGATTATGCGTACTACGCCCAGTGAAATTACAAACAAACATGACGTCAGTGTTACTACGATACTTCATCCAAATCGTATTTCTGTATTTTAAGCATCTTTCGGTGTAGTCTAAAGAAGGACCGTAGAATCTCAAGAAAGTGAGAGTGTACCATGATTCTGTTATAATTTTTGTATTGTTTCTTGCAGTATAAATGGGAAGAAAAAAAATTTGTTCTGCTGAAGCATACACGTCTTCCAGTGAAGAAACTGAATTGAGATTCCTCAATTTTCCCAGAGATTCAGCATGGTATGCGCCAGATCTGAAATATTATAAAACATACTGTAATATTTTGGCGAATGTTATTAAAGGAGCTAAAAATCTTCATTATAATCAATTAATTTCTAATTCTAGTAACAAAATGAAAGCCACCTGGAGCATTATAAAATCAGACACAGGTAGAAAAATTAGTAATGCAGGTCAGTTTTTAAACATTGATGGGAAGTTAACTGATAATCATGATGTGATTACAGATTCTTTTAATAATTAATTTCGAACAGTAGCTGGACAACATCAATACCAATAATGTTCATCAGCATTTTCTGTGATTTGAAGAAAACTTTTGACACTGACAATATCTGTCGGCCTATCTCTCTATCTACCTCTCTCTGTCTAAAGTAGAATTTTATGGAATAGTTGGTAAGGCCAATGCACTGATAAAATCCTATGTGAAAGATAGGTACCTATTTTACTCATTGGAGAAATAATTGAGCTCCAATATTAATTAATGATCTTGGTCTGTTATATGCTGGATGCCTAGTAGTATACTTTTATGTTTCATTACTGTAGTCTTGTGTCATTAGTGTGCTGCATTCTTTCACATATATATTTTAAAACTTTGTTAATGATTTACTCTCTGTGATTTGTCTTTGATAATATGTGTAATTGTTATGGGTTAATTGTAATTAATTTTTATTTATATCATTGATGGGACTTGTCCTGTTGTCTTAGACTATTACTATATCCGCTGTTCTTCCAGCCGTGTAAGGATTAATGGAAAGTAATTAAATGAATGAATGTCTGTTTTAGTGCATGATGTAATGTAGCACCTACACCATGTTTGTAATGTTTACTGATGAATTATTTCAATGTTTTGAGATAATATGTAATACTCTTACAGGGCTATGGTATGGGCAGGAAGAGTTGGGTTGTCCTGTACTACTGATTCTGCTAGAATGCTGCACAATAAAGTTCTGTGCAACAAACATTTCTCTGAAAGTGATTTCACTACAGCTGAAAGGGTACACCTTAACAGATGTGCAGTTCCATATGGCACAGATTCTGCTGCACAGTCACTCCCACAACCTCCTGATACTTCATTACACACACCTTCCTTTGATACCTTGCCTTCAGATTTATCTCCTGTACATGATCTTAAAGTCCTACCGCCCACCAGAACCTACAGCAAGACACTTGTGCCCTCTGCTGTAGCACCTGTTCCTATTCATGCAGACAGTCCTTCCACTTCCTTTCAAATGTCTGCAATCCAATCATCACCAACAACAGGCAACATTTCTTCAGTGAAAGAAACCTCCTATCTCTTAGGCTCTGGAAATATATATGCTTCTGATGGGGCACTCGGGCATATCAGTTGTCAAAGTTCCTCCTCAAAGCCGAGAGCAAGGCGTTCTCTGCTGAAAGAACTTAATTTGGCTTCGCTTTCTGAATTGACACCGAAGAAAAGGAAATTATATGCACAAATTCGGAATAAGGAGAGTGCACTCTGCAAACTGAAAAAGAAATACAAAGGAAAGAAGTTGGAAAATCTCTGTGATGTGGACAGTGGTCCACTCATGGAGAGGCTTTCATCTTCTCTCAGTGTAGAGGCTGCCAGGTTACTGGCAGCAGTTATTAGGAACAGCAGGCAGAGACCTCAGGGAAGGAGGTGGGATTTTGAAGAGATATTGTTGGCTCTCTCTCCCCTTAAGCATAGTCCCAAATCCTATATGCTTCTCCGCACACTACTCCCCCTACCATCCAGATGATCCTTGCAGTCTGTCATCAATACTGTTCCATTTAGGACAGGCATCAATGCTCATGTGTTTCATGCACTCGAACAGTCTCTGCAGAAAATGTCTGGTAGAGATCGATATTGTTGTCTCATGTTTGATGAAATGTCAATCAGAGAGAACTTGCATTTCAATCAGAAGTTTGACTGCATTGAGGGTTTTGAGGATTGTGGAAGTCAGGGCAGGACTTGCAGCATTGCAAATCATGCTCTGCTCTTCATGATCCGTGGCCTGCGGAGAAAGTGGAAGCAGCCAGTGGCTTACTACTTTACTCGTGGAAGCACAAAGGCAGAGATGATTGTGCAATACTTGAAGGAGGTTCTTGACGCCTATCAGAATGCTGGCCTGAAGGTGGTTGCCACTGTGTGTGACATGGGTGCCAACAATGTCAAGGCCTTGAAACTGTTGGGTGCTTCCAAAAGGAAACCATTCTTCAGATTTCACAATCAAGAAATTGCAACAGTGTATGATCCACCCCACCTTCTGAAGTGCACCCGGAACCTTTTCCTGAAACATGATGTGCAGTTGAAGTCTGAACATGTGGGCACCCAACTTCCTGTTATTGCTAAGTGGGACCACATATTGAAACTGTATGAAATCGACAAAACCAGACCGTTTCGCCTGTTGTATAGGCTGACAGACACCCTCCTGAACCCCACAGCACAGAGCTGAATGAATGTGTGCTTGGCTGCACAGGTTATGAGCCATACTGTTGCAGCAAGCCTCAATGCTCTAGTGGCTACAGGTAAGCACTATATGTTTCTTTTATGAATGAAATGACTAATAATGAGGACTACTTTTCAAAGTTACTGCACCAGAACCCAGTTGTAATCAAACAGACGTCATCATCATCTGACTTGAATTGACTTCTGAAACTGTATATCAATATAAAAGTTATGTAGAATATGTCACAAATACTGTTTTTAGGATAATTAAGAAAAGTTTGAAAAGCAGACGACACTATCAGTGATATAATTAAGGTGAATTAGGTGGCATAGCTTTTAATATGAGGAATAATGTAATGAAATGTACAAGTTTTGTATAATGTTGTATAATGTTTGTATAATGTTAGGCCTTTGTAAAGTAATGTGTTATTTTCCAATGTAAAGAAACTGTAATTCACCACGTAAGGAGGCCCACTAACTTCTGTCCCCTCCCCCCCCATTCAGGTGGGTGCAGCAGCGAATACATGGCAACAGCTCTGTTTGTCGAGGAGGTTGGGAACCTCTTTGATAGTTTCAATGGTGGAACAAGTGTTGACTGAGGGAAAACACTGCGTTGCCCACTCAGTGACAACAGTCCCCATATAGAGCTCTGGAAAAAGGCAAGTATGGGGATAAAGAGTTGGATCTTCCTCAAGGATGGCAAGCCTGCCTTTCTTCATCCTCCTCCTTCACAGAATGGGTGGATGATTGACATCACTGCTGCCCAGCATGTGTAGAGGACACTGAAAGAGGTGGGTTTTGAGTACCTTCACCCAAAACCTGAATCAGGATCCCGTGGAGAACACATTTGGAGCTATTCGTTTGAACTGTGGTTTGAACAATAACCCAACTGTGGGACAGTTTGTAGATGCCCTGAAGACTAGCATCATCAGTGGCCTTGCATTTAGAGGACTGGGGGAAACTAATTGCGAGGATGATGGTGCTACTCTTCTGGATAATCTACAATCGCTTTTCAGGGCACCTGAAGCTGCTTCACGAAATCCTTCCACAAGTCATGACAAGGAAACCCCTGCTGGTGTGCCTGAGAGTTTCCATGTTGCTCAGCAAGTACAGATGGACATGAGTCCTGCAGTACCTGCTGGTGACATGGAAGTGCTCTTAATAGCTTACGTCAGTGGTTCCATTGCCAGACAGGTGTTGTCAGCTGTGATGCATGCAAGGCATGCCTGACATCTGAAGTGCTGCTATGAGCCAATGTCTTTATTTATTTCATGGAGTGCAGTGATACAGAACAGTCTCACCTATCCTTCTGAGAAGCTGGTGGAGACTGTTGGTACTTCTGTAACTCTGATGGAGTCTATAATGACAGAGGCTGTCCACTTGAATTCAGTGGAGCAGCATATCACAGCTGCCATCAAGAGCACCATTGACTTTGAGTGGATTATGTGTTCTGGCTATTCGCTTCACCACCAACGAATAGTAGATAGTATTGTGAGATGTCTCACACGAATTTACATTCCTTGGTGGTGTAAGCGAAGAAACAGGTTGATGACTGAAGCAGCCAGGCAGAGGGCCACAGAGAGGAAGATGAAGATACTCTCTCATCAGTAAGTGATTATGAAAGTAATGCTTCTTCATTTTTGCCTTGTAATGTCCTGCCCATACCAGCCCTGGAAATTGACAGATAGTAGTTATGAAATTACTTTAAGCATATGTGTGCCAACTAGTCACACGAGCATCATTAAATGTTTCGCAAGTTGGAGAAAGTATCCCTGGTGACAAGCAGTTGCAGTGCAGCAACAGAAAAACTACTGTGCAGCGAATGATAACATTGTCATCCACAGTTCAATTACGCACAAGAAACCTACTTTGAACTTGAGCTGCATCTCTTTCCTGCTTTGCAAACATGTTGCAGTGAATGATAACATGGTCAACCACAGTTCGATTACATACACAAAACATATTTTGAACTTGAGCTCCAGCTCTTTGCCTTTGTGCAAACACATTTCCTTCATCTGAGAATATTAGAACTTCACTGGGTCAGAGTTAATTCTGGCCTTTATCTTCAAGAAATTATATTTCAATCGAGTGTATGGGAAACTGTTTTCTGACACACATGGGTCTTCTTTATGTGCAGGTAAGAATGAAGCGGCATTACTTCATAATTGACTTACAAAGTTTAGGTTATCCACCTCTGTGTGAAACTCTGAGAAGCAGAATCAGTATCAGGATTGAATGTGGGTAGGACTGTTTATGTAATTTCTTTACCTATTTCATTTTCATTACATTGTTATTCACTTCTGTTGTTATAGGTGTATTCCTTCTCTTGCTTTTGCCATATAATGCTACCTGTACTAGACTGGTGAACATGAACATAAGATTTTCAATTTAATTTTTGCTATATAATCATATTCAATACTGAACTGGAAGATGAATATATACCAGATTGTCAGTATTCATTACATTCTTTTGTAAGATGTATTAGTTTTGCCATGTAAACTTTTCCATTACAGAACTGGGATGTGAACAGATACCAGATTTTCAGTATTCATTATATTTCTTTAAGATATGTAATTATTTCTGCCATATTGTTCTGCCCTGTACTGAACTAGTGAAGATGAATATATCACATTTTCTTATA